TAGGATAATGTTGTAAGATGATCATTTTATTCTTAGGCTGATGTTTTTCTTTTCTATAATAGAATTTTTCAAAATTTATTTTAAAATAATTAATAATTAAATAAATTAGAATGTTTAAAAATGCTTAAACCTTTTTAACGTAATCTGGCCTTAAACTACGACCTAAAAACTTAATTATTTTTATTCCTATATAAAAGTTCTTTTTTCTCTTTCATGTTTCTTTATGGCGAAATCTTTATCTCATTTTCAAACGAAAGGAAAAAAATATCAAAATTCAATTATTCCTCGTATAAAAAATTATGATTATTACATTATTATCGTGAATAGTCTCTATTCACATTGTTAGGGGTTTTTTAATAGTCTATAAAGAAAGGACACAGAAAAAGAGTGAAGAACATTGTCCTGCGACTTTTTTTTGCATCTGGATTCGAAGCTTTCAATTCCCCCAAAAAAAAAAAAATTATTTAACATCACCACGTTTAAATTTTAGAAATATCGACTCATGAATTAGAAAACTTTTCGTTCACACACTTTCGACATTAAGCAATTTTCTTTTATAAATCTACAAAGTGGTCTAAAAATATTGTTACCCCGCCTATAAAAAAATAGTTTTTTGTTTCAGATGAATGACATGTGCATGTGCTCCTACAGTTTGTAAGAGGTGACAAGAGTTTCGGACCACCCTGTACATTTCTTTGTTTTGGCTTACTGGATCTTCTAAATTTCTCCTCTCGACACTAAAACAGTTGGTAGGTGGTTTCCTTAGAGTATTCAGTACACATTCCGAAAGTTACCTCCTTCCAAAAAATATATACATCAAGGGAACCATTTCAAATATTTAAATAGCGGCTCATAATCGTATAATAAAATGTTCAAATTTAATGACGATAATTTGCTTTCAATTCGAACTTAAATGAATGGACCTTTTATTTTAAAAGGGAAATTTGTGGCTTGACACCGCCTCATAAATGTTGGAAACAAACAGGAATGTAATTTCAGGAGAAAAGACTTAAGAAGAGAGAGAGAGAAAAAAAAAGATGATCCATCCGTTAGAAAAATGAACGTTGACTTGAATAAGTGGATAAATAAAAAGTAATTATATTTTCTTTAATTTTCCTTTTTTCTGAGATTTCAGAATATAACAGAAGATCTCTGAATCAACATTTAAAAAAAATGACATGAGGACGAAGGATGAGGTTACTTGATATTGGGGAGGAAGGAATTTTTTGAGTTTTGATATTCTTTCCTTTTATTTCGTTTAAAAATGACATAAAAAGAGGAAGAAGTGAAAGATAATTTCTCCATAAAAAAAAACAAAAAACAAATGGAATAGAAAAAAAAACTTCCGTATAAGAATAAATATTCAGGAGTATAATTCATAGTTTAAGACCAGATCACGCGGAAAACTTTTCGTTTAAATATTTTTACATTCTAATTATTTTAAAATAATTTTTGAAGAATTCTATAGAAGAGAAAAACTTCTGCCTAGAGATAAAATGATCAACTTAAGAAGCTATCTCAGCTTACGGCCATATCACGCTGAACACACCGGTTCTCGTCCGATCACCGAAGTTAAGCAACGTCGAGTCTGGTCAGTACTTGGATGGGTGACCGCTTGGGAATACCAGGTGCTGTAAGCATTTCTGTTTTAGGCTTTTTCTTTCATATTTTGAATTTTCACAACGGTTTTTCAACGGATTTTTTTTTTCGTCAACAACTCAAATTTTTTTGCCAAATATTTTAAAAAGGGGTAGCAACTTTTGTTTTTATTTCTGAAAAAAAGTCATCGATTTTCGTACTGCAAACAAACTTATTGAAAAAGATCTTTTTATGCCCCCGCTAAAAAGGCTGAAAATTAAGTCCAATAACTCTGTAAAGGTCAGATTTGACACTTTCAACTGCATTCTTATTTTAAAAATCGATAACAAATCAATATTTTTAGATTTTAATTAAATGCCGCAGCCCAAGGAATGTCAACTGAAAATCGACAAAATTTATGTACAATTTATTTACTCATAAAATTTTTCCCATATTTTTTTTAATGAGTTGATCAGTCTGGTTAATGAACGATATTGTTATTTTCATTACATTTAATTAAATTTAAAATAAATAGTGTGCTCCCGACAATAAACACAATTTACTTTTCGTTGCATTTCTTTTTTAACACTTTCGCTTTCATTAATTTTGATATCAGCTCTAAGTTAGGATTTTGTTCTCGCAGATGTGTTACTGTTTAGTGTTTAGTGTTTAGTGTTCAGTATTGTATTATCATTCGGTATTTTTCGATTTCAAGTATTTCCTCTATGTTTGGATGATTAATTACATTTTTATTTATAGATGTACGTTTTACCTCTTAATAATAAAGAGAAAAAAGAACAAATGCTTACAGCACCTGGTATTCCCAAGCGGCCACCCATCCAAGTACTGACCAGGCTCGAAGAGAAAATTAGGCGGGGATGACAAGACTTTTGGACCACTCTGTAAACTTGAAAAAGAAATGTCGAAAGTGCGTGAATTAAATGATTTCGTGTTTTGTAATTTAGGAGTCGCTATTTTTTGAAAAAAAAAAAAAACCTGCTGAAATTCTAAGTGAAGCTTTTTGAATAAAAAGCTTCGAATCCAGATGCAAAAAAAAAAAACTAAAGTTAGGACAATGTTCTTTATTAATTTAATAGAATTTAAAAAAAAAACAAAAAACTAACAGCAGCGTGAATAGTAGAATTATCGGATCGCAGTGCTGTTGTGGATCAGTAATACTTGGATTTTTTATGCCTCATGTTACAAGTCATGGAAATTGTTGAGTAATAAGCGTGGTTAAAAAAAAAAATCAAAATATGAAAGAAAAAAAAAAGGACGCTTACAGCACCTGGTATTCCCAAGCGGTCATTTATCCAAGTACTGACCAGGCTCGACGTTGCTTAACTTCGGTGATCGGACGAGAACCGGTGTGTTCAGCGTGATATGGCCGTAAACGGTAATTGTTCCCAAACTAAATACTTTTATTCTTTTGTAGGAAAAGTGTTTCTCTTCGTTTGGTTATAGAAAATTTTCAGCGTCATATGGCCATAGGTGCTTTATTTTTAACTAAAAACGCTTTTATTCCTATCAGATGAGATTTTTCTTTTCCGTTTTTTAATGTTTTTCGTAATTTCTCTCTAACCTTAGTTAAACCGAAAGTGATATTAAAAAAAAAAAAAAAGACGAAACGAAACCTTTTCCTTCTTCACCTTCACAGCTATCACAATGTCTTCGTTGTCTTTTCTACGCGGTATTGAAGAAGGTTGGCAAGTCGCCGGGTCTGGATGGTTTGCTCTATGAATTGCACTTGAGTCTGTCGTACATCTTTGTCCTAATTTTGACAGTGGTGTTCAACAACTAGTTTCGGCAGTGGTCCATCCTCGACCGGATTTCCAGCGATGTGATCATGCTTTTGAAAAAGGGCAATTGTGTTGGGTGGGATTTAGATGATTTTTAAACCCATAACTCGCCTAAACACAGAGTTAAAGATTTTGGCCAAGATCCTGGCGGAGAGGTTGCAGTCAGTTGTCGTGAGCTTGTGGGGACCCGAGCAGACTTGTGGTGTGATGGGACGAACAATTCAAAGCAACCTGCATCTGATCCGCACGATCATAGTGGGAGTAAAAGACGACGAACGAGCCGCGCTGATCAGTCAGGGTCAGTCCAAGGCATTTGTACCTGGCTGCTGTCCTACAGGTTGCCAGATTCGAACCCGACTTCTGCCAGTGGATCAGCTTTCTGTATCGCAACCCCAGTGCTGTGGTATCGGTGAACAGGAAGCGGTCGAACACTTTTGCGCTGTCTCGGTCGGTCCGACAGGGTTGTCCGCTGTCGCCCTTACTTTACACTTTGGCGTTGGAACCCCTCCATCGCCGGTTGAAGGACAGGGCGTGCAGTCCGGCTCTGCGCTGAATCGCTGTTTTCCCTGGTAGAGCTCGAGCTAGGATCTCTGCGTACGCCGATATAACGTATCCATTTTTGTTTCGTGCCGTCGCGACATTAAGGTGATACAGAAGGTGCTTGAACGGTACGAGAGGGTGATGGGGGCCAAGATTAACCGTGTAACAAGTCTTCCGGCTTGCGGTAGGTGCCTGGAAGGGGGTCGCGCTTTTGGGACACTTTGGTTGGACTGATGGAACCCTGCGCATTCTTGGAGCGCTGGAGAAGAATTGGTCAAACAAAAGTATAGGCAATTTAATGTTAAAATTGATTTTGAGAGATAAATTGAAAGCGACTGTGAACGAAATTGAATTTGAAAAAGAAAAATGATTGAATTAAATAAGTGTGTTTTAGTTTGTGGAAGGTTGCTTCTGAAAGTTGAGGCCTGAGGAATTTTTGTTTCTGAATTGGCATAGTTTTTTGCTATTTTTTGCTATAACAGTTTTTTTTTTATTGTAAAATAATAAACGAAAATAACACTTCCGATTAGTGCAGACCATCACGACAAAAAAAAAAGAAAAGAAAAAGAAGATAAATAATTGCTAAAAAAAAAATGCTATGATTGTTGTCTGAGTATTTTTATGCGGATTGTTACGCGATAGGTAAATCCATAGGTGAGAAAATTTGCTGGTGAGTAACGGAACGCTCACGTCACCCACCCGCGAACAGACACTACACATAAAGTGAGTTTGGAAAAAAATAAAAATTAATTTATTCTGGAAAAAATATGAAGGACTCGGGGAAAGTTGTTAAAAAGTGGGGGGAAAAAAAAGTAACGAAAAGCGAAAATGAAGATGTGAAGACGTGGATGGTCGTCTGATGCTGGGTGATTCGTGAGGGTGGGGGGAAGAAGATGATTTGATTGAGATAATTTTTTTATTTTCGATTTAATTTACTCTTTCTAAGGCAAAATGGTTAAAAAAATATAAAAATGGCTTCGAATATTAAAAAGTAGAAAAGATAAAAAAAAAAAACATTAATTCTTGAAAGAAAAAGTTTTACAAGTAAGCTAAGGATTAGTAGATGATTATTAGTTGTTTAGTTTACGGCCATATCACGCTGAAAAGATTGGTTCTCGTCTGATCACCGAAAGCAACGTCAAGTCTGGTCAGTACTTGGATGGGTGACCGCTTGGCAATACCAAGTGCTGTTGTTAAGCATTTTTTTTTTAAATAAATCAACATTAAAAGTGCACTTCAAAAGCCAAATACTTTTGGAAACTTTTTTGAAAACAAAAAGTGTCAGTGATATTTTTAAAGAAGTGATACATCGTTCAGTTTTTTTAGCGGTCCAATAACACTAATCCACGAGTTAGAGCCAATGTTTTTAGTATTCCAAATTATCACAATTGCCAAAACAAAAACCTAACGTCGCTGATATCAGAGCTAATAAAATACGAACTGTGAAATGCTTAAACTTTTACTTTGGCAACATCAGGCTAAAATTTTCAGCGACAGCGACTCCCAAATTAGGAAACCAAAAATAATGATACCGCCACATTTTGTTTTTAAAAAGAATAGAATTTGAATTTCGACAAAAAGAGAAGAAAAAGAAATAAAGAACGTAGTTTTCTCAACCACCAAATCTTGACAATGCATTTATGTGAGTTTAGGTTTTTACCTGTCTCCTCACGGCGACGTGATGTGACATATCCGTTTTCATGTGGAGGACCCGAACGCGTACACCTGAGCCAGGGACAAAAAAATATCCAGACCCCACAACCGTTGGTTGCGCTGGCATCGATATTACTACTACAGATTCCTCCTACCGAGGGTACATCCGTGGGAAGCTGTTCCCCGGGATTAAGCACTTTCAGTGCTTTCTCCCAGCTACGTCTCTGTCCGAGGACAGAGACCCCAACTGAGTTGCACTCTGCCCGGAGACAAGAGACAACTGAGAGATATTTGTTACATTACATGCGCCATGAATTAAAATGCTGCGATTTTGTGGCACGATAGGTGATCCATACGATAGAAAAATGGGCGTTTACACTGAAGGGGATTGGTAAGCGAGTTTGACCTGGATTTAAAAAAAAAAAAAGTTGTATTTATTTTCTGTAATTTGTTTTCTTACGATTTCAGAATAATAGTTGATTTCTGCATCGACATTAATAACATTTTTAGTAAAGTTAAAAAAAAAAAAAAGAGAGAAAAACGAGAAGACGAAGTTGGGAGATGTGAGATGATGATGAAGGAGGGAGTAAGATTGTATTTTTTTTCTACTTCTCACTAAGTTTTAGAAAGATAAAAGAAGGAAAACTTAAAAAACGAAAGATTATTTAAACATTTTCTATAACTAAACGAACAGAAACACTTTTCCTACAAAAGAATAAAATTATTTTGTTTGGAAAGAATTAGTGCTTAATTTAAATTTCGTCTCTAGTATAGCAGAGAAAGATTTATGGATAAAACGATCAATTTAAATCCTCCAATTTAGCTTACGGCCATATCACGCTGAACACACCGGTTCTCGTCCGATCACCGAAGTTAAGCAACGTCGAGCCTGGTCAGTACTTGGATGGGTGACCGCTTGGGAATACCAGGTGCTGTAAGCGTTCATTACTTTTTTTTTTTTTTGATTTCCGTTTTATTTCCTTATTTACGCTAAAAAAACATCTTTTTCATATTTTGAAATTTCCTTAAAAGTGCTTATTCAGTACTAATTCCTTCGTTAATAATAATATAATAATAATAAAAAATGTACCGGAAATTTTGCTACAGTTGGATAATTTTTTTTTTTTGGCAAACATTTTAAGACTGGGCACCAATGTTTTTTATTATTTCGGGAAAAAAAACTTATCCATTTTCGTGATGCCGAGTTATTGCAAATCTTTTTATGCCCCACCCCTCCGCTAAAAAAGGCTGAAGATAATTAAGCAAGCTCAATAACTCTGTAAAAGTCAGGTTGGTAAATTTGGGTTTTGTTTCCCGAGCGCTAATATCCCTTAAGATTTTTTCCAAAATCGTCATAATTCCGTGCAAATGTACATGCTGAACTGAACTCGAATTAGCAATTAAATTATGAAGAAACCTTACTATTTTATTTTTGGAGTAATCGACAAGAAAAAAAAAATAGGACTTCTTGTTGGTCATTCGTCCCCCATTACTGCCATCATAATTACTAATTCACTGCGTAGTACCTACGCAGGCATAATCAGAAAATTTGGCCTATTTACTTCTTTTACAGACTTTCCTTGCAGAAAATCACTACGCACTACTGTAAAGAAATGTAATTTTTTTTTTTGGTAAGTGTAGTTTTACTTTTAACAAAAACAAATTAAATAATACAACAGAACCTTTTTTCCGTTTTGAATAGCAAAAAACAAATTTACTACTGAATAGTCAATTTTAGAAAACTACGTGGAAATTACTTTAAAGAAATTACAAAATATGAAAGAAAATGTTTAACGTAAAAAGAAAATCACCTGGTATTCGCAAACGGTCACTCATCCAAGTTCTGACCAGGCCTGACGCTACTTAACTTCGAGGATCGGACGAGAACCGATGTTTTCAGCGTAATATAGCCGCAACGTGAAAAAAAAAATTAACTTAAAAATCCATTTTTTACTTTAAATTTTCCTTACAGTAAGTTTTTGTCTTTTCTATTTTTTATTATTCGGAAGCATTTTTGTTTTTAACCTTTTTTACTCGCCATTCACTTTGGAAAAGGAAATTAAATCGAAAATAGAAAAAAATCTAAACTATCAAATCATCTTCCGACATCACAAATTTCGCGGCATCAGATCACCATTTTCACTTCTCTTTACTTTTTTTTTTTTTTTAACTTAATCTTTTTTTACCCTAGTTCTTCATATTTTGTACGCCTTTAAAATTGTTAAAATTTCCCACAATAAATTAATTTTTATTTTTTCTGAACTTACCACTATGTTGGCCGGGGGTTGAGCGTAACACAACGTTCACTGTTTTACTTTTTTCACGTACGGATTACCTATCGCACAAAAATACACAAAAATCAATAATTTCATTTACTTGTTGTGACGATGTGAAAATCATGAGGATTATCTGCATTTATTATTTTATTCCTCATTTTGGAAACATTAAAAAAAATCCTTTCAAAACAAACGAATTAAATTCGAAAATTTATGAACACAAAAAGGACTGTGAAGACAAAAAAAAAAAAAACATTCCTCGATGTTTTCTGTCGAAACTAACAATTCTTCACAACTTAAAATCTTTTAGTTATTCTCTTTGGCCCCGACAATAAACAAGTTTTTTTTGTTTTTTTTTTTTTTTAAAAAAAAAAAAAAATAAAAGTTATGTTTAAAGTTGACAAATATGTCCATTTTACTTGTAAGCATTTCCTGACACTTGTTTTTATTAATTTTGTTTGATATTAGCTAAAAATTATGACTTAGTGTTAAAATTATAACTTAAGTGCGCAGTTTCTTTTAGACGAGTAAGATCAAGAGCAATAAAAAAAAATGCTTTGATTGTTTAATTTTGTAATCCGTCCGTTCAAATGTTCCGCAGTGAATAGTATAATTAAACAAGGAAAATAATTTGACCTAAACACAACGGAGTTCGAACTTTTATTGTCGATAACTCCAAAACGGTAGGTTTTATCAAAATTTAATTGTTATTTCGAGTTCAGCATTTACATTTACACGGAAATATGATGATTTGGGAAAATTTTAATAGATATTTAGCGCGGGGTTTAAAAGGCAAATTTACTTCTTTTTTTTTTTAAAGTTTCAGTCTAAAAAAAAAAAAAAAAAAATTTCTGAAGTTTTCAGTATTTTTAAAAAATCATTTTCCTGTATGAGAATGTTTTAAAATGTAATCTAACTAACATTTGAGGTTCATAATCATTTACCTTAAATCAAGAATAGACAAATGATACATAAATAATTTTATTAATTTGCGTAAACAAAATTTATGTTTTTTAATTAAAAATGAATCTATTCCTTTACTCGTTATTTAAAAAAGAATTCTTTTTGTACCCAGGCTAAATAAAAAAAAGGCTGTTTTCGCACACAAAACAAGTAGAGTGTAAAATCAAAATCTGTCAAACTAAAACAAAAGTCAAGGAATGATTTTTAAAGCTCTTGTATTATCAATAGGATCGCCTCTTTGAAATCGATAACAAATCAATATTTTCCGATTCTGAAGGTCTACTGAAGATAAAGGTCAACTGAAAACAAATATACAAATTTTCCTATAAATTTTAATTTTTTTTAGAGTGGACCAGTAAATTTCATAAAATTAAAAAATTTAATTTAAATTTAAATAAAACGAAGAAAAATAAAAATAAAATAATCAACCATGGGCTCTCGACGATAAGCACACCTTTACCTTTTGCATTTCTTTAGGTTTGGTTTTTACTTTTTATTAACTTTGTAAGTTAAGATTTTGTTCTCTCAACAAAGCTGGAACTAAAATTAAAAACTCAAAATTGGATAACAGTAACACCATTATTAATTTATTAATTACACTATCATTCGTATTTTTCGATTTCAAATATTTTTCCCAAACATTTTTTGGATGTTTAAATGCATTTTTATTGATACATTTTTTATCATCTGTTTTATTTTTAAGATAATAACAATAAATCTTGAAAAACATTTACCATTACAGCACTTGGTATTCCCAAGCGGTCACCCATCCAATTTACTGACCAGGCTCGACGTTGCTTACAGTTCGGTGATCGGACGAGAACCGGAATGTTCAGCGTGATATGGCATTAAGCGAAGATGGAAATACAAAAGTAGATCATTTTATTCTTAGACATTTAAATCATCTTTCTAATGCCAGAAAAATGTTTCTTTTTTATTTAATTTTTATAGCATAAATTATCTTTCAAAACTATTTTTTTTCATTTTATTTTTTTTCATCTTATTCGTATTTAAACTAAATAAAAAGTAAAAAGAAATTACAAAAAAATCAATCTCCACCCATCATCGTCATCGCAAATCTCCCAACTTCGTCTTCTCGTTTCTTTTAATTTTTTTTTTTTTTAAACCTTATTAAATTAAATTAATGTCGATGCAGTAATCAACTATTATTCTGAAATTTAAAAAAAAAGATAAATTACAGAAAATAAAAACATTTTTTTAAAATTCAGGTGAAACTTGTTTTTACCAGAAATTCCTTCAGTAAACGCCCATTTTTCTACCGTATGGATAAATAAAAAAACAAAATCGCAGCATTTTATTCATGGCACAGGTAATAAAAATTATATCTCTGTTGTGCCTCTTGTCCAATTAGAGATAAAGCTGAGGAAAAAACTGTGAGGTGAAAAGTCCTGGGAAGAAAAGCCGCTGTAGTAATCCCTTCATGGCATGGAAAAAACGGGGCATCGATCGTTATCGATGCCATCGCAATCGACGGTTGTGGGGACTGGGCAATTTTGAGTCCTGGCCCAGGTTTATGTGCTCGGGTGACCCACATTTAAATAATAACTTAGTTTTATTGCATTTTTTTATTATACGATTAAGCATATTTTAAAAAACCTAATTTCACATTATTTAGTATAAATATTTCATTTTTTAAGCATTTTTAAATTTGTTGTTTAATGGCGTTCGATGAGATACTTTGTGATTTTATTGTACGATAGGTGATTTTATTTGAGAACAATGACCGTTACAATAAAACCCAATGAAGACAATCAAGTTTATTTTGGAATAACTGATAAAAAAATGAATTACATATGTATTTTATTTTTTTTCTGTCTCTAAGACTTTATAATATGTTAGCAGATCTTGGCATCAGCAGCAACGATAAAAGAAAAGTTTTTAAGACAAATGAAAGGAGAAATGTTTTGAGATCTTTGGTTTCGTTGAGGGTGAATGTATAAAGGTTATTTTTGTTTTTCACTTTGAGTAAAATAAAAGAAAGATGAAAGATGAAGGAGTCCAAAAACAATTCAACAAAATCCTAATAAGAAGAGAAAAATTTCTGTTCTAAAAAAAAAAATGATCAACTTAAGAAGCTATTCAGCTTACGGCATATCTTTTGAACACACCGGTTCTCGTCCGATCACCGAAGTTCAGCAACGTTTTTTCTTTGGTCTATTTGGATTTGACTGCTTGGGAATACTTTGCTTAGAATTTTTTTTTTTTTTTTTTTTCTTTATTACTTAAGATTCCAGATGTTGTACTTTATATTAATAAAAAATTCAAAAAATATCCAAACATTTTGATTTTTGTTTTGAGGAAATGTTTGAAAATGAAAAGTTACCGAGTAATTGTATTATTTATCTGAAATCCAAAGTTGAGTTTAGTGTTTAATTCCTTAAATTATCACAGTTGTCAAAATAAAATCATTTTAATGTCTCTGATATCAAATTTTTACAAGAGAATATCTTACATTTTTTAAATCATGAGATTAGAATCATTTATAAACTTTTAAATCTTTTAAAATTCTACATTAATTTATATTCGTCAAGATAAATAAAAACTATTTTTATGTTATAAAATAAAAATGACATATCTCGGCTGATTTACAGGCAAATACTCAAGAGCGAGAACTGGATGAACGGGACAAAGCCCCGTCACAAAATGACCATTATCTTTCTTTACAAATGTTCCCGACACACGTGTTCCGGTCGAAAAATAAAATAATATTTAAAGTGCTCTATTTTTCGTCCAATAAAATGCTTCCCTCCTAATTATACTCGCTTCGTTTCTCGAGCCTGTTAAGCCATAAAAAAACGCTATAAAAGGGGTCACAGGGAAGTTCAGCAGCAGTCGACAGGTGGCCACAAAGGAGACCGGTCACGTTCAGCAGCTGTCAGCAGGAGAGCGTTAACCACCGTCAACATGTGTGAACTACTATGAGAGATCGACCTAGATCCGAAAGCCGGCTTATGAACTTTACCACACCAAGGTAGCTGTCCTAAACCCTCATGTTCCTGTTGAAATAAACCACGTAAATCTATTTCTGCTGTTGTCGTATTTCTTTCTTGCAACCATACGCTTGTCTATAACACTGGTGTCAGAAGCGTACAGCAAGAGAAATATGGCCGACTACACGAGCTTCACCCGAGCCGAACTATTTACTCTCATCAAGGAACAGAAAACACTACTATTCAACTTGAAAACGGGACCAACACAGCCTTCTGAAGCCACGATACAGGAAATTCAAGCCGACATAAACGACATGCTGACTGCCCTAAAAACTACTTCAACACCTCCCACCGCTCAAACAAACGGCGATTACAGCTTAATGATGCGCCAACAAACTATACGCGACACATTGAAGCTAGAGAAAACTTTTCACCCTGGACACGACGTGAACCGATTCATCACAGCCCTAAACAAAGCATACACAATCCACGTCACGCCAGAACTCAGCACCTATCCCAGCCTGGAATGCGAATTCGTCAAGTCTGCTAAAGATTTACTGGACCAAAGTATTTTTCAGCAAATGGTTGACTCAAAAAAGGACATATCCACCTTCGAACAACTGAAGGAATACTTATTAGGAGCCCACGGAAGCCAGATGACTAACTTCCAACACCCCAGTCAATCCTGGGACCTGGAACGGCGAGACGACGAAAAATTAACAGACT